AGACACTTTCAGGAAAAGTACAGAGACTAAACTGTTACTTGTAGTCTTTGCAGAGTTAGAAAAAGTATTTGAGCAGGTTTCTGACGCAAGTTGGAGCAAGCCCCCGTAAGACAGATCCGCTGGAAGTGAAATATAAATTTTCTCCAGGGCTTTGCACTCAGCCAACTTATTTTTATCATAATGATGGGTGATCCATGAGAAGAGGATCAGCACCTTGGCAGAGAAGTTCCCTACCCAGTGGGTGCGTCTACAGGAGACGCTAACTGCACAGCAGCCTAATAAAACTGTGCAGTAGCATGCCAGGCAAAACCTGTGCTAATACGCTACTGTGCAGTAGTATTAGGCTAGTGCGCAGTGACTGTCTGCCAAAACCCATGTGCTGGCGCTGCTTCACAGTAGTGCCAGTTATTGTGCATTGATTTAGGATTTGGTTATGCAAGTACTAAACTTAATGCGCAGTAACTATGGTGCATTAGTGAACATGTAGACACACCCAGTAAAAGGGAAGTACCTCAAGCCTCCACACAAGCCAGTACAAGCACCCTTAATGAAAATACTCTCCAACAGACAATTGGTTCTCACGAGGCTCTGCACTTGGCCCACTTCTTTATATCACAATGATAGGATTCATAGTAGTAGTTTGAAGTCAGAAGGGACCTGAAGAGATCATCAGGTACCACTGGAGAAGACTTTAGATGCTCAGCACTGCGGGTTTTATGATGTTTGCATGCAGCTTCCTGATACACAGAGGGATTTTAGGAAGAGGACAAAAAATAATAATTAAAAAAAAAAAAAAAAAAGCTTTACAGAAAATGTTCCCTCTAAAGTGTAGTGACCCATGAGCATGCCACTTCTTGGTTCCACCTCCCCCTGCAACACTGCCCTGGGGAAGATCACACCTCTCCCTAACAGTTAACATACCCAAAGGTACAAAATCCATTGCATGGATCTCCACTCAACCGAATAGACAAGTATCCTCATGTAATGGGTTTTGCAATAATAGATACTAATGGTGAGTACTAAATGAGAACGGGAGTGGCGTGTGGTTTGTTTGGAGGGAGAGAAGGGGCAGGTGTTGCTTGCACAGTGGAGGGGAGCCAGGCTGCCTATGCTGCAGGAGGGGTGAAGGGAAGGGAGGAGAGGAGCTGGAGGGGCTGGGGAGCAGAGCAGCTCCCCAGCGCCAGCCCCCACCTGGCCCCCAGGAGCGAGGAGGCACATGGTGTCAAGGCTGGGGAGCAGTTTCCCAGCCCAAACCCCAGCACTCAAATGTGCAACCAGGAATTGTTACATTTGGACAGGATGCAATAAGAAAGAGTGAGGACATCAGAAAAAATTCCTAGGAAAGTTCTTGGCAATTTTTTTCTGCACAATGAACTGGGGATAGTAGTCAGGACAGGCTGGGAAGGCAAAAGGGAGACCCATCCTGCAAAGAAGCTGCAGAATATAGAAGCACCAGGAGTTAGACAAGTGGGGAGAACCCAAGCAAAAGCATCTGGATAAAGAAAGGACATAGAAATATGAGAGAGACATGAGCAATGAGAGTGCACTGGGGAGGAAGGGGATTTAAGCCACTAGCCCAAAGTTCATGAGGATAAAACTGTTTAAAAAAAAATAATATGGAGAAAACAATAATATTGAGCTGAAATCAGTCCAGGGAGAAATAATAAACAGCTTTACCCAGGGAAACAAGAGTTTGGTAATTCCTCAGCATCTGGTCCCAGTAAAGCACCTTGTCTCCATCGTCCAGCAGCTCCCACTCCTTCTGCGTGAAGTACACAGCCACGTCCTCAAAGGTCTCCTGGAGCTGCAGTCACAAGGGTTACACAGTCAGTATCTCCTGTCCCCGCACCCCAAATCATATGCTATGACAATGATTTGTGAGCCAGGTAGGGATGCAGCATTCCCCATTACTCAGCTGACGCGTGAGGTTAATAGAGCATTGTGGACAGAGGAGTTCATTTGTCTGTTTTAGCCCCTCTCCTCCTTGGAGATGGTGCAGCTACTCTCTCTCTATACCAGCAGAGCCTGCAGTGCAGGCATCAAGAGCCTCCTCCGGGGAAGCTGTTTCCACGGCAGTGACTGGGAAGGGAGACTCCAGGCACACATCCACACACTAACACACCTTAACATGGGTGTGCAGACTGACTTGGGACTGAAGTTAGTCCCAAGTCAATGGACACACATTGCATGAATGTGCATTAGCGCGTCTACACATTCACTAATGCAATTTAACTATTAATGCCTAAATTTGATATCTGCTTTATGCAGGTATCAAGTTTAGGCTCAAACAGCCTTAAATCATTATTTTTAAGCTGCATTAAGAGTGCGCACGTGTAAACACATGCCCTTAATGTGCTTTAAAATCAGACTAATGTGCATTAAATGTGCACGTGTAGGCACACCCCAGGAGTTTATCCGTCTGCATCAGATATCTCCCTAGGGCATGCCTGGGCCTTGCACAGTGATGTCAGGAGGCTGCCTTTTTCTTCCCAGGTGGCTTTTGGGCGAGAGCTTTGAAAAGCCGAGTCTAGGGTGGGATTGAGTGGCTCCATACAACAAAAGGGACCTCCCTGCCAATGTCTTTCCTTCTGCAGCCAT